CTAAACCTGTGCCAAATTTCATGGAGATCCGTTCAGCCGTTTAGGCTACAAACGCTAACAAACATCTATCCATCTAAACTTTCGCATCTATAATATTAGTAAGAAGTAAGATAAGTTAGCTGTTCGATCGTGTTTTGAGATTACTTTAGAGTTTTTTTTTTAACTTTAACTTCCGTCACATTCTTTGTATGATTTGCGTCGCATGTTATCTCTGGATAGTACAAAGTCACTCTCGACCGTTGCCGAAATAATTCCGAGCTCCGAAGTGGTTTTTTAATCAAAGTGCAGACTGACACAGAGCTGACCTCCCCCCCATCGCGGGGCCGCAGAGAGGCGGCAAAGGGGAGTAGATTTAGTACTTTTTATTTTTCTTTTTTTTGGAAGTTTGTTCTTTGAAAAGATGAAAATTCGCCGCACATTGCTAAAAGTCATTTCTTTGTATACAAAGTCCGGTTTTGAACCGCCTTGTGTACAAATCTGATTAGATTTTTGTATTTCATATGTATCCGATTTCTTTACGATTAACAGCGGGCGTACACCTTTGACTAAACTATCGCACAACTGTTATGCGATTGTCGATTCTTTGGAAGTCTTGAACTAATTATTTGCACAACTAAAAATCAATTTGTGTGCGCACCTCCAAGCTTATATGAATCAAAGCAAAACTAAACTGTTATGCGATAGCTCAGTCTAAATGTGCGCGTTCTTAGGAAATCATCGTGATGCGACCATTATCTAGTAAGAAATGTGTGCGTGCTTTGAGCAGAAGGATTCAACGAGCCCTGGTTTATTGACTTAGATGTTTGTTGACAGCGGCATATCATGTCCTGGCTCCTCTACTGCCTGCTTATAGGCAGCGCTTTCAGCATCGAATTAGGAGGCGCTAGTGTGCTGTCCATAGAGCATTCGGGACAGGTGGGGCAGTACTACCACCAGCGTGTGGGCATACCGTTAGCGGAGGCGGTGCGCCGTGCGGAACTCGCCAGCAGTAATACCACTAACAGAATTACCAATGGATCCCCTTCGCCGCTCGGAGCATTCCCCTTTGTGGTAATATACCATTACTTAAAAAGTATAATTGAAGGACTTAAACCCGGTGTGCAGACCTTAATAAAACAGATAGATAACGCAGCTGATATAAATATCCTTGAGATCTAACCCATTGATAAATGTATCAAAATGTACATGAAATGGCTAATACTGTTTTCAGCCGTGCAGAATTTCTGAAACCCTGTAGTCACTGTTTAACTTGTTACCGACAGCGCGGCAGCCAAAAATACATAATAAAACTTTTTCCCCAAATAAAACAACTTTATTGAAATTTTAAAAATTATATTGCGATCACATCTTATGTAATTTTTTTCTTCTATTTTAATAAAACACTACTCAAATGTCTTGGTGGCCTGTATGCAACCTCTATGGCTGTATTTATACTGCTTGTCAGCCAAGGAGGTTGTATTTTTCACTTAAAAGTCACCGGTTTTCCATCTAAAACTGCATCTCGCAGCTGCATTATGGAATAATCTGTACTCGGCATTACGGCTACGACTTAGGGTCCATCAAAAAGCGGACGTATCTTCTCAACAGCTGGCAAGACTCTAGTTTTTCTGCGGATTTATATTTTTTTTTTGTAATATAAGGTGGCAAACGAGCAAGCGGCCACCTGAATCCACCGAAATGGAAAGCGACCGCTGCCCATAAACATCCACAATTGCAGAGACGTTGCCTACCTTA